GTAAAATCTCATCTGACATAAGATGGGCAATATTATAAACTGATGATTACTGTATAATATATAAAGCATATATATAAGCTTGGACTCATAGTGATCCTCTTGTCCTAGCCTCCCCAGTGTTGGAATTGCAAGCAGGCACTACCACGCCCAGTTTCAGTGGCTGGCAGGCATGTAGTACTGGGGAATAGAACTCTGGTCCTTGCACTTTGGAGGCAGGCAATTAGAGCTATCTCATCAGCTCTGTATAGTATCTTCAAAATGATTTGAAACAGCCTTCAAAGTTGCCTAGATGATCTGAATGCAAAAGGGAGATTCAGAAAACTTTCCTGCCAACATATGGGATATTATGAGTCAAGCTGCGGGGCAATTCTGACTCCGCCCGGACTTCCATTGTGTATGTCGTGCTTCTTCCGTAGGCTCAACTCGCATGATGTCAGGCGTTCCGGGAGTAAAATAGCGTGGGAGCGTGGATCCAATATTGACTCATGCTGAGTGGAAGAGTACACCAAAGTTAGGATGAGATGATTTGGTTGTGAGTGCTGATCACAGAGGAAAAGGGAAACCAAGGTGTAAGTTTTGTCTGTCTGTCTACTCAGTTAAGACTGAGGATAGTTTGAGACACAATGAAATCTCACTGATGCACAATGTATATCCACAGCCAGTTTTCAGAAAGAAAAGTAAAAGGAAAGTTTTCAGTTCCCCTGTTTTACTAATAAGATCACACCTTGACTCCTGGTGGCTTTGAAAAACTTAATGAGTACCTTGGTGGTGAATTATTCTGCAGTCTCAGTATTGGCTGAACCAAAAAGGTGTGAAACCTCTGATTTGCATGTGCAGCAAAAGGTGCTTTACAAGGAGAATAGAGAGAGATATTTCTCTGTTTGCAAAGTTGACAAAACAGGAAAAGATCACATAAGGATATACTGTTATAGTGTCAACATTCTAAACTAAAGAATCCTATGTTCAAAGATGAAAAACTAATAATACATGATTTATTTCCTGCTGTATATAGGACCAATTAGTTAAATAATTTGCAGGAACTAATGTAAAATTAAAATATAGGTCCCCTGTTATAATCAAGGATTATAACAAGGATTTCAAGAAGGTCGTAACAGAGCATTAGGCCAGGTTCCAAATCGAGCTTCCTGAAAGACTGCACAGGCTGCAGGCCTGTGATTTTTCAATGTGCTGGGATGTCTGGCCAAGCATTTCAAAATCTTTTTTCTTAGTCTTCCTGTGTTTTGAAGAATTAAAGTGTGTTGAACACAATTTCTGTTGGAAGAAAAAAAATCCCCTAAAACAAAGCCAGCTTGAGTTTAAATACTTGAACTCACATGTTTAATGGAATTAGAGGACTATAGAGTGCATTTAGTAGGTATTGATCAGCTGGGGATGGAATGATTAAGGAACAGATTTCTGTTTCAGACTCAGCTCTGCTTTAGTCACCTGAATGAATTTAAACATATTGTTTTTTCTGGGTCTTGAGTTACTAATCTACAAAGTGAAGCGATAGGTAATATCTGTAATTCCATAATTCTCTGCTTGGTCATACCATTAAGAGTTGTTAGAGGGCAGGGAGGTAGCTCAGTGGTCTAACACCTGCTTAGAAAATGCAAGGACTTGGGTTCAAACTCTGGTACTGCATGTTGGGAGGCCGTGCTGGCCACCAGAACTGGGCATCATGCTGGGGAGTCTGAGAGGAGGATTACTACGAGTCTGAGCTGTGTAGCGAGACACTGTATTAAATAAATAAAAAAAATATTTTTAAAAAGTGTTGTTAGAGGTCAGATTTTTGCCATATAGCTACTAAATCAAACAATTGACTATATTTTGGATATATGTATATTTTAATTAAAAATCTTTTATTTACTTATTTATTTGGTACAGGGTCTCACTATGCATTTCATACTCATAGTGATCCTCCTGTCTCAACCTCCCTAATGCTGGGATTACACGGGTGTGCCGTCAAACCCAGCTTTGGTTACTGGCATGGCTCGCCCAGGGTCTTGGGCCAGCACGCATGTGGTAACGAGGATCTAAACCAGGTCCTTGTGCTTGACAGACAGGTGCTTAGACTGCTGAGCTATCTGCCAAGTCCATGAATGTATTCTTAATATATCTTTATGATTTCAAATGGCCACTCGCAACTTATAAATTCTGCAGCTGCATACGATTCCCTATTATGGATATCACTACTTTTAGCTTCTCTCTCTCTAAGCTATAGTCTAATAGGTCAACTGAGGAGAGGATAGAGTTCACTTTTCTCTAAAAAGCCTGTAATATTTTCCTCTGTGATTTATAGATAGAGTAATTGTTTGCAGGTAGGTATTCTGTGCCAGCGGTCTATCTCAGAGGCTTGGTAGAGCTCTAGAGGCACATTCTCTGAACCATGCTTTCCTTAGAAAGAGTCACAGTAGAGTTTTGTGCAAAGCAATGTAATCGCCACGTACTTCACTTGATGACCAGGTGGCTTTGATCTAGTCACGCTCTGATATTTAAACACATTTTGTTTATTATTTGGGAAGGTAGCTCCTTAAAGATTTTTCTGTCTTTCTTAGTATAAAATAGGCTTTTGGAAAATACAAAATATTATATAGGATTGTCCTAGTCAGCATGTGTTGGATGAAGAAATATAAAGTCATGTTTCTGACATTAACAATCAATCTTATTTCGTTAAAAATGAATTGCCTATATGTTAGGCCAGATAACATTGGTATTAGTACTTGAGGTAAGTAGCTCAAATTGGATCTTCAAGCAAGCATTTAAATTAACATTCATTTCAGTGCCATCTATCTGGAAATTTCCTTGCTAAAAAGTGTTAGGGAAGAAAGGGGTGTCATAAAATGAACAATTTCTTATTTTAAGGAACTCAGTTAAATTTAGGGAAAAGCCTACGAGTAACTACTTGCAATATCAGATTGAGGGATCAGGACTCTAAGAAAGGTATGAACTAAGTTCTAGCTCGGTGCAGAGTTCTCGGCAGTAATTGTAAGTAGGGTTATTTTTGGTAGAACTCATGGAGATGCTAAGTTCTAGGTTGGGCCCGGATGGCTATTTATCACTTTGAGGGGCACAGACGAAGGAAAAGGGAAATTTAGGCCAAACACACTCCAAGGGCAAAGTTCAAGAGATGTGTTTTAAGAAATGCCTGGTCATTCAATGTGCTGGAATAGCAGTGGATAAGATTTATTGAGAGTGTATACTATGTCAAGAAAAATTCTATTCTATATTGATCATTTAATTTTCTTTTTTTTTCTTTATATTTTAGGGAGGGGTCTACAGGGTATTCAGGGTCTCACTACTAGATCGGACTTGTAGTGATCCGTCTGTTTACAGCCTCCCAAGAACTGGGATTATAGGCACATGCTACCATGCCCAGTCTCAATGGCCATCTCAGCGCGCACCAGGGGTGGGGCTGGCACAGCAGGCCTGGGGATTAATTTAACTCTTTTTCATAACCATGGCGCCGGGGAGATGGCTCAGTAGAATAAGAGCTTCCCTGGCAAGCACAAAGGTCTGAGTTCAATCCCGAGTTCCGCCAACACAAAAACAACAACAACAAAAACCTTATATGGAATTTTCAACTGAAGCTCAGAAAGAGATACTGAGTTTTTGAACCTATTTTACAGCTAAGGAAATTAAGTCATAAGAACAGCGCTCACTCAATATGCCAGAGCTAGACAGTAGTGGAGCCAGGATTGCAGGTCTACACCCATGACTGCTATAGCTCAGCATACACAGTGTGGGTAGAAATCAAGGTGGTTGGGAACCCAGGGGCCTGCTGCACTGTCCCGAAGTGCTATTCTTTATATAGTTCGAAGAGGTGTGTAGGAATTCTGGATTTTTCAGATGAAAAGAAATAAAAACTTAAAGCATGTCTCTATTATGTGTCATTATTTCAAACAATTGTCTAGAGCCACCCTGGTCAATACAGTGGCTGCTGCCAGATGCGGCTATTGGGCCCTTGAAATATGACCAGTCCAAAATTTTTTCTTTTTTTTCATCTCTGTACTGTGGATTAAATGTGGGGCCTCATGTATGCTGAGCAAGTGTCTACTACTGAGTTAGATTTCTAGAAGCTAGTCCAAATTGAGATGCATTGTACACACAGAATATTTACTGACCTAAAGTATTTAGTGTGACAATAACAATAGAAAATACTTCTTAATAATGATATTGATATATAACGAACTGATGCTTTGGATATGTTGATTTGAATACAATATTTTAAAAATCAGCTTGTACAAGTTTATTTTTATTCTTATTAGTGTATCTACTAAGTTGATTTAAATTTATCTGTGTGAGTTGAATTCTATGTTGTTGGGGCAGAGTTCAACTAGAGTGATTTGAAACATGTGGTAGATATTTTGCTAACCAATTATGATGAAGGGCTTCTTCACCACATTGGTTTTTTAACCATATTCTTTCCTTGCTTTCTGGTCATTTTCAAGAAAAATTTTAAGAAGGCTTCCCCCTGGTAAAGGTGTGTGAGGCCCTAGAATTTCCTTTTGCACTTGTTCTCAACCACAAGCAATGATCAATGTACTCTGTGGATGAGGAGCCAGCTTTACAAGGGCCAATGGGGGATCTGCAGAAAAATTTCCAACCTTTGAATGGTGTGAAGTAAAAGTGTTTTCAAAGGATCTCACAAGAATGGTACCAGTGGGCACAATGGGTCTGTCGCATCGTCAAAGGGCCCAAGGAGTTGAAAGGAAACTCTAACTACAACACCAAAATGCCACAAAACCATAGTTATTAATGCAAACTAACTTGCATCCCTGCCTATCTGTCACCATCTCATCTTAAAAAAAGTACTTGTGAAAATACGTAATCCTGATGAGACTTCAACTGGGTATAAATACCAGCAGCAAAAGGAGATGCAGTACACTGTTTTGATCACCTGCAGATCAGTCATTACAGAAGAAAGATCAGCGAAGTGTTTTGGACCTGATTGACAGGAGCTATTGACTTCACCTTCTTAAGCCCAACTTTCTGAAATAATGAAGTACACAAGTTCCATCTTTGTTCTTCAGCTCTGCATCATTCTTGGTTTTTCTAGCGGTTTCTGCAAGTCACAGTTTATGAAAGATATAGGTGTTCTAGCGGACTACTTTGTAAGTATGATCTTTTACTAGTACTTGCTTAAGGTAAAAAAAATAAGTGTTGACTTATTGTATGTGATAGGCTGATATCTTTAGTTCATAGTTCTTTGAAGAAGATGCGATGTGACTTTTCAGATTGTTTGTGGGATGTTTCTTTTTCTTTTTCTTTCTTTTTTTTTTTTTTTTTTTTGGCAGAACTGGGGATTGAACTGAGAGCCTTGTGCTTGCCAGGGAAGCTCTTATTCCACAGAGATATCCCCCCAGCCCATGGGATATTTCTTGATTATATAATCTATATATTGTTTCTGATGAATTTGCAATGGAGACTGGGAGGGGATTCATGAATCCTCCAAAAGACGGACATGATATGGGTATAAAACAGAATGCTTTTGATTATTTTATGGCAAAAATCCATTTTAGTTATAAGCTAAATAATGTTTGACACTAACAAAAAAATGATTGATCATTAGTGTCAGATTTCCAAGACTAAAATGAAAGTGACGTTCAAAGGTCAACATTAGCATTAAAATAACAACAGGAAAGAATTAACTAATTAAAGTAAAGAAGATAAAGTTCTTGAAGTTTTGGCTCATAGCTGTTTTCTCAAAAGGTGATTTCAACATTTCAGTGCTCCATGTGTATGACCTGTGAATTATTAGTGAAGTCAGTCACTTGCTAAGATTTTAGAAGAGTGATAACTCTGGATTAGGGCTTTAAAATATTTTGTTTTATGAATTTCTTTTAAAACTTGATTTATGGTTAATGTAAGGTGTTTTTACATTTTAAATAATCTATGATTTATCTGAACTGTTTAGCTCTTTTAATAATGTTCAGGAAGTCACAATCTACTTTATTATTATAGTATAAGTTAAAATCCTTACACACATATTTTTTTGGAACTATATTTAAAATATGACATATAATACCCTGCAGGAGGATAAAGGTAGATATTATAAAACTCTGTACCAGAAGGAGGCCATATATTTTAGTGGGATGATTTTTCCCCCTTTTCTCTCCC